ACAAGAAAAGGATAAAAGGGATGACATAATGCATCCGTAGAGCAACATATATTATCTACACTTACTGAAACTATACAGAGTATTTAAAACCTTCCCACAAAAGCAATAGGTCATCATTTTGATTCTCCACATATTCTAGTTGTAGTATTTTGAAATCATTAACCGTTTAACGTAATTCTGATTACTTTTGTTTCACAACTTGAGTTTTACGCTGGGACAGACAAAAATGTTTTTCTTTATCTATATATACATCTATACCTATGTATATAGGCGACGGATTCATAGCATCAGTTGGTGCGTCAACTTCTTCATCATTCTAATTAGATAAAGAAAAACATTTTTGACTGTCACAGCCAAAAACCCAGTAAAAAATTGCAGATACCTATTTTGATAAATGAAATAATGAAAAAAAAAACGACAAGAGCATAGAACCGCTAATCCATAATCTATTGAGTGATATTTCTTTAAGTATTCTTTTTATATACAAAACTGGTATTCGAACTACCTATTCTTTTTTTTTTTTATTTATTTTATTTGTTTCACTGACATTATTTTTTTTTATTAACATGTATTGACTTCAGCTGCGATTTGATACAGCAGAAGTTTTCGTAGGGCTAGTTGTGTTGGAACTACCTATTCGAATTGGTAGTCTGGAAATAAATCACAGTCCTTAGTATTATGATTTATTTCCTGACCGACCGACCAATTAAGTGAGCACGGGTCAGCTAATATTTAATCATTTGTAGCATTACGCGAAAATTCTGATTATTATGTGACTTACCTGTGCTATTATTAAGATGAATACATTATAGTCTGTGATCACTAAAATCAACTGGAAGTATATTGAGTTAACAGGAACTAGAATTGTTAACAAGAAATAAAAATAGCAGTAGGTTACACGTTAAGACAGTGTCGAGTTCTTGACTGAACTATGTGTTATGTATATTCGCAGTATTCACTTAACATCGAAATATCGAACTCACTCGATATCTTAAGACATATTTAATCACGTTTTTTTTAATGAATGAATATAGAATAGTGCTATTGCTTGCACTAAAATATTTGGGCACAAATGGAGAATGATATAATGAGCGGGAACTCAGATTCGTTGTGAATGTGGTGTATGGTGAATTCCTTAGGAATTAACCACGTTGCTTTTCACATACAGGTGTCCCGTAAGTAGTGAACTCAACCAACGGGTTATGGGGGTAGTGAGACCTATTATCTAACAAAAATACTCAAATTTATAGTCCTAGGTCTTGTAGTTATTAAGTTATGCTTTGTTTTCAAAATGTGGTGAAAATATCATCCATGTAAGCTAAATATTAAATTTTACCATATTTGTTTTGAATCTTTATTTTAAATACATCTAGGTACATCTCATACTAATTCTAAAGTATAATTCTAAAGTATAGAAGTAAGATTTTTCTTGTTTCATTTAATATCATGGGATATTTTCAGGATAAAGATACGATTTTTGTAAAAACCCTTTTATTTTTTTTTTATTACAGAAATGCTTAATGTCTTCCTATTGTCCTTATGCATAACCAACACCTTGTTTTAAAGTTGCTGCGTATACTTTTACAAGCCTTTCATTGTTTTTACTATTTCAGTAATATTATTTCTTACGTTGATTCGATTGGATACATCCAAAATATGTAAGTAGACAAGTACACAGTGATGGGGGGAAAGGGGATTGTTAGTAATGAGGACTGTTGATCCCATTGCTAGCAATGTACCATGTCAGGTTGACCTCCACGCGATTCCCCCTGGAAACCATAGTGATAAATTCTTGGTGAATTTGTCACGATGGGCTAACTGACCTGACCTCATGCTCATCTTATCATCCTCCACTGGTGCTCAACCAGCGTAAACCGTTAGCGCAGGTGGGTGAAAAAAAAAGTACGCAGTGATACTACAGCAATCAGGGTTATTAAAAAAAACAATTATTATCATAACACATATGTATATTATCCGTAAAATATAAAATTATAAATAGAAATAAAATTAAATTCATTTAACAGAAAAATAGTTTAGGGTTTAATACTCTTTATTAAGTACTTGTATGTACTACAACCATAATAATAAACCTTACGTGACAGTGTAACACGACACTACAATCAGGAGCAATTTCTGAACAGTGTTGGGAACGGCCACTATCGCTTCCTAGGTCGACTCGTCCACAGAGAAATGAAACCGATATTAGTGTTCCCGCCAAGACAATTATAACCTCACTAATGCTCCAATGAATTACTTCTGATTGCAGAGACGTGTGTAGGCAGTGTGTAATAGTTATTATTCTTTGAATATAAATATAATGAATAAATTCGAAAATTAAATATAATATCTATATCTACTACATATAAATAATATTCATTTTTGTTAACGTTATATTTAAGTTACATAAAAATTTATTAAGCACCTAATGAAGATCACTTTTATATTTATTATATAAATCAACACTCACAAACTACAATTCGTATATTATGACAAATCATAATTGCTCTGTGCTTCTAAACAACGTGTAGGTAAAAAAAAATTTCTTTTTTCATATTCGTCTACCTCCATTTTAATGATTGAACAGGCAAAGATCCTTAGATCGTACAGCCTAGTCTAATTTAAAATGTCTTGCGTGTAGGTACAAATACCTACACGTACAAAGCACAGAACAATTATCATAACATTTTTAACCGTTTACACTGCCCTTATAATAATTGAATCAAGATAAAATAGGAATTTATTCAAAAAAGAAGTGCTCATTTCAGAAAAATACGTTTTAAGCAAAAGGTTTTCATATAATCCTTCAAAATAAAAAATGCAAATTGTTTAAAACTAGCCATTCTAAAAATCATTCATATCACAGTTTCCATACAAAAATTGCTGTTATGCTATATACATTCACACATGAGACGTCTGGATATTATATTATGCTAGAATACCACGAAGCATGTAATGTATGAAGAGAAACCAGTAAATAATGTGATTCTGATAATTAGAAGAGCAGAGCTATAATTGCTAAAGATTTGAACAAAGTAAACAAATTCCAAATTAAAAAAAAATTGATAATTTACAAATCACACATCTATTCTTACACTATGAATACTGTACATTAATTATAATAAAAAATAGAAGTGTAATAGAAGTATTTTAAAGCCCGTTCTTGCCTTTTTGTAATAGACATATAGATCATGGGTGTACACAGATATGGGTGTACAAGTTGCAGAGGGAGACACTAATATTCATGTCTCATAGGCTTCTAGCTAATAATGACAAAAAATAATAATTCGGGCGGTATTATTAACAATACATTTAATCTATTGTTAAGAAGGTAATCTGTGGTTTTACATTTATTTTGTTTGTGAGGCAAACGACATTTTTAGGTCTACCTTATGTAGAGACCGACATAATCCGTTCGCCTCATATTATCACAAATTATATGAACATATTCTATTTTATACATTAGAAATAGTGTCATGTTCATAAAAAAAACACACACACTTATAATATACTCGCCCCAGTTCCTTCTCAACACATATTTAATTTATACTGAACAGATATCACGAAACATGTAATATACATTGTACTATTGTTATGGAAACAATTATATAAAAAAACATATTCTTACATTAGTATATAATTTAGTGTCATATAGAGAGACATGTCTAATATATTCATTGAGCAGAAAATCCTTAGTTACGTAACTATTGGCCCGATTTCTACCTATATACTCTGCTAGGTCGACCTCCAAGTCTTTTGGTCTACGGTTAATTACTAGTAAGATCCCCACAATAAGTTATTTAACTTTATTTCATTCACATCTGTTAGCGTAGACATAATCATCACAAACAAATACTCTTTTAGTACTCTGTTCTTGGCCTAAAAGTATAAATATTATTTTCCATTCTCATTTCTATTTGAGCCGAGGTGCTATAAGTAACATGGCACATAATTATAAATATTCTGTTATCCTATATTAATAATAGGAAGATTAATACTTTTGAATATAATAATTAAACATTAAAATTATTATACAATATCTATAAAATATTTACAATATATTTTCATTTATTAATAATAATAATCTATATTTCTAATTCACTTGGAATAATTTCGGTTATCATTCCTCTTTCTGAAACAGTTATTGGACAAATATATAATCATCTTTGGTTTGAAAGCACTTTGTGCTAAGCCGTAATAAAAAAAAACATGAAATTTGACATCTCATCTAAGATCTTATTTAATATGTCAGCATAGGTATACACGCGAACAGTAACATGTAAGTTACTAAGAATAATATATATATATATATATAACAAACTGTCTCTTTCTCAAACGTATCAAAGATGAATGAAAACAAATTTAGTAAATTCGTTAATATGTTGAAAATACAATACTCTAGTTTTTGTATAATAATCTTCGTATAAATTTCGTATAATAGTCTACCTATCTCGTTTACATTACTATGCCTAAAAAGCTATATGTGTAAATTTTGTACTATGTAATTATGTACAAATAACTCTTCTTACACTACAAATTGGCAAACCACACAAAGGTAACATAAAAGAAACTATAAACAATTTTAACTATAAAAGTATTGATTCTACAATATTTATTATAAAAATATTATACTTAAACAGTAACTGTATATGTACATAACTTAATATATTATTAAAATTATTGTCATAATTATTGGACGAAGACAGAACCTTCTGTAATGAATTTATTTTAAAACAATGAAAAATAATAATAACAATATATGCAATATGTAACGAATTCCTCATTACATTAAAATAAACTGCATTGGTATAAAATGTTTTTTTACCCTGTACAATTAAAAGAAAACAATATCAAAATAGCTGCCTTTCCATACCTACTCTCGCACGCGTGCGAATATGTTTTCACGCAGGAAGGAATGTGCAAGTTAATGTAGACAAAGAGAAATAGATTACGGTCGCCGTCGGCTAACTCATTCCGGCGTTCTTCAATCTTTTCAATTAGCACCTTTTTTTATAATTAATTAACATTGCAAAATGGCGGACACAAATGACTATGACTGCAAAAACTTTATTGATAATTTAAAAATCTTAAACATGTCTCTGGATAATAAAACCTGTAAAATATAAAATAAAATTATAAAAGATTTTACTTTCTTTTATAATTTTATTTTTGACTTCACATTATATTTCTTTGAGATGATTCGTAAGCACAAGCACGCGCGAAAGAGTGAACAAAAAAATAAACAATTTAACATTTAGGTGGCAGGAAGTGAGTCTATGCATAGACTCTGAGTTTAAGACTAGGCTCACATTATCAAGTCTGACATCGCGGTGGGACATCAGTTTCTTACGATTGGCACATTACCAAAGAGAGTGGGGTGTAGCAGTCAATGCGCTAATAGAACGTGGTCGTAGCAAGTACCATATAAGTTCTAAGGGGCAATCATATAATCCTGTGTCTTTCTTTGTGATTATATTGCACCTTGCACAGGAATTGTAAACACGCTTACCAGTCACAACAATTGTCACCACAATCACAACAATTTTCACCACAATCACAGCCACCCTCATCATTACTTCCATTGCAGCATCCATCACCATGTCCAGTATCATTTTCAGTGTCTCCATCACAACAATTACTCAAGCAATTTGCACATTCCTGGAAACAAGAATTATTGCATGTGTTGAACCATACACAACAGTCTGAGAGCAAACGAAGACACCAACATGTATCCTGCTCATCAGGAATTACAAAACAGCAATCAATCAATGCATCATCACTGATACTATCTTGTCTCCTTCTCTCTTCCTCTTGTCTTTTACGTTCCTCTTCTAGTTGTCTTTCTTCTTCTGATATTAATGTTTCAGGATGTTCCAGATCACCAACTTTGCTTGTTGGTTGAGTTGTGATAATATGTTCATTTTTATTACCCGACGCCATATTAAAAAATATAATAAAAATAAAATTGAGGAAGACTTCTTTTCTTATATTTCTGACACTGTTCTTAATTAAATTCGTAGTTTAGTTTCTAGCAACTAATAAGTAATATTCTATATAATTTTAATATAATATTCCCATTACATTATCAGATATATTTAATTGTTTTCCTCAACAGCAAGACTGCAATTTTTCAATATATTTATGAAGTAAAATATTATTTTATTTATTTGTATAAATAATGTAAGTACATATTCTATAATTATAATTTGACATTTAATAGACATATATTTAATTAATTATTAGAACATAACATATTATGTCAACCTTGAAAGTTGCATATCATATCATTAATTAGGTATATAAATAGACATATACATATGGCTTTTTGTTATAAGTTTGTATTATTTACAGTATACCGTAAACAATTCTTTCTTCATGTGTGTTAAGTATGTATGCTGAGTGGTAAACTCCAATGATGCTGATGCCACATATGCTCTGTGAAAAAGGCAATATAAACATAAATTAGTGTTATGGTATCTCTTTTACTAGTTCTCTAGTTCTAATACTACTATTTCCACTACCACTCTCTTCTGCTACTTCTATTGCTTCTTAGATATGGATGATTAGAAGTACAATATTATTAATATTGTACTTCTTGAATCTTGAATGTGAAAGTGTCTATTACATTTTCATAAGGAAATACTGTTTATCATGAGCACAAAAAACAAACAGCCAGTGAGTCATAATATGAAATCATAACTTGTATTTGATGAGATTTTGTTTTTTCCTGTTTTACATGTTTATTACTAAATAATCAATTAATATGTCATGCTTTTGATATACACACATATAGTCTCGTAATATAACTTTAATATTGTGCAAACTTAAAATTAAAATTAATTATGAACTAAGTTTCTCAATGGGTAACCTGTAATACTAATAAATAAGTTGTTTTATCATTATTGCAATATTTAATTGCCACTCTTTACAACTTAAATGAAATGTTCCTCTTTATAAAGACTGTTTAACATTTCAGAATGGTAGAATCTAGTGTTTTGTATCTGTGAAATTATAGGACAAGGAGCATGATATTTTGATCCTCTGGATGGCAAATAATTAGCGGCATCATGGCGGCCTGTAGTACAATTTATCTGTGTATATAGGCTACAGTTACCACTTTTATTAATTTTTTTTTATAAAAGTGGTAACTGTAACGGTAACGGTAAAATCCTCCCGGATGACAAATTCCAAGCTTAAGCTAGTTCTATTACTAATACTTTAGGGATACATTTACAGGATTTTTTATCTGCTACCACTACTTAATATTACATGATCTCCCCTCCAGAGGAACACATTAAACAATTAAAACTTTAGCCGTATCAAATTGCGGCTGAAGTAGTTAATATCATCCAAAAAAATAAGACAATAAACACAACAGATACAGGTAATATTTTTTTTGTTAATTTTATTTGTTTAATAAAATTAACAAAAAAAATATTACCTGCACTGTTAACTTATTAACTATTCCAAGTACTTAAAAAAATAAGGAAGTATTTTTTATGTTTAATTTCTATTTGTCAAGGTACCTAATTCCTACATATTTTATGCTGAAGTCTTTAGATAAAGTTATTGTAAGATGGTAGATTGTTAGTACTTCAGGACTCTCTAACATTAAAAAAAATATACATCGATTTTTTTAATATTAATATTTCTTTATTTGAACTCAAATATAATATTTTACAAAGTAGGGTAGTGTAACGATAACGGCCACATTAGTAAATAATAATGTGTTGTGGCCGTCAACACCCACATGGCAGAGGCGTTATATGTCGAAATCAATAATTATAATTATTATTATAAATATAAAAATAGTTATTTAGTTTAAGTTTACACAACATTGTGCGTAAATGAAGATTGTTATGTGACTTACCTGTGCTATTATTAAGATGAATACATTATTGTCAATGGTCACTGATAATAATAACTAAAAAATCAAGTTTGAGCATTTGAGTTACCTACTTAAGTTGGTATAAGAAAAACAGGCGACAAACCAGTTTAAGATAACAAAGACATTTAACAAAAATAATTAACATAACTAAACAGATCTTTAAAATACTATTATATAAAAGTTACTCTACACACGTGTGTTCAACCAAACAAAAACATAAATAAAACCAACTTGAAACTATTGGAATGTTTTGACGTTCATGACAGCTACACAGTATTGCCAGGTGACTATGTGATATTCCTCCAAATTTTATGTCGAATGTCCCCAGAATTTAGTTTAAGAATCCTAATTTCCTTTTCTTATGATACTTTGATTGCTTTAAGCATATTTACTTAAATCGAAACTATAGTGTGGAGTATTAATTTATATTTAAGTAAGTACTAATCGATTTTGATGAAAATTTCAAAAAATTTCATGAAACTGTGTATAGATGACTTAAAAAAGCCTATTCGGAATGCACAAGGACAGGAAATCGAATACCTGTTATATTTACTAGGTTCCGTGTAAGTAAATGTAGATTAAAGATTATATAAATAGAAGAGCTTAAAATATTCGACTATTCCTTTTTAAAGTTGATCCGGTATTCAACAATATAACGTTCCGTATCACCTCTAGTATTGATACTTTACTGGTACTCATATGAATACTACAGATGAGTGGTTGCTTAAATGAGTAGGGAAACATACTTGTAGGTATGGGACGTCCCTAGACATTTTAGGATTGTGGCAAAAATGTATTCCATTTTCCATACTGTTACCATATTCAATACATATTGATAAACAATTTTTCTATTGGATAATACCGATATATTACTATAGTCATATTTTTAATTAGACGAAGTCAACTGACGTTTACTGTGTTGTCAGTATTTGATGAAATAAAAATAGTGTTGTGACAAAGTGAATCATTGAAAAAACTCCTGAATTAATGGAATAGCCTCGATAGTCTAGTGAATAGTTAGTGTGCCGAACTGCCGATATCGGGTACGGGGTTTGAATTTTAGCCGTGCTTTATACATACCAACGAGTTTACGACGATTATGTTCCTATTGTATCTACCTATACTGAATACCGAGTATTTTAAACGTAAAGAAAAAATTGCGTGGAAACTTTTAAGACTGTCCTAATTACAATTCATAATGTAATTGAAACTATAGATGTACAAAATATAACAATATATAACATAATATAGTTAGGTAATAAAAATAAAAAACTGTGCTTATTACAAAATTTGTTTTTATTCATCATCAGATAAAAAAATCATTGTCGCTTTCAGTGACATTAATTATAAATCTGTCTAAAAATTGATAATAATTTATCTTTGAAACAGTGTTTCGCTCCACGTTTCTCCGGAGACTTAAACTGTTCACTTTGTATTATTTTAATACATTGTAGACTGAGGTCACACCAATTCCCAAAATGTCAGCTTTTTCGAAATACATTTGTTTTTTTGGGAGCCTCAATAGGTAATAGTGAAGCAGCTTTCTCAAATACGTATTTGTAGACGTTTTGTATCATAAGTTTTTCGGTAACGTCTTTCTTGGAGACAAGCTTTGGCTTGACGTGCTTGGTTGAGGATCCATATTTTTGTATGAAACAATATAGTAAATATACAATATACCCAACAATTACCACAAACACAACATGAGGAAAAACTTAATAAAACAGCGTGAGCGCAAAAAAAAACATTGGTGCTCTCAGACCAGAGGTTAGAAGCCGAATTACGAACAAAATGGCGACAGACGCTCGCGACGTTGATTTGTGTTGGCACTAGTAGCCGCGCGCTTTGTAATAAGCCGTCAAAAAACTGATTGTAGTTACTAGTAACTTATATCAGAGCACTTTTATACAATTTTCTTTTGTAGTTTGTAATGATTAACTATTCACACTCATTGTTCATTCATCTAACTGAGAACTGAACGCATCACTATTACTTTAAATATGGCAACATTATTTTACAATGTGACATTAGCTACTGTCAGCTAGCTTCGTCTAATTAAAAATACGACTATAGTCTGTTTATTAATGACGAAAATTACCAGTAAAAATAGGTAAAAATATTAATCCGATCGTGCTACAACCCTATTTGAAAATTATAAAAATCTGGCAACATAGGTAATGTCTAATTTGTCTCCGAGTTTGAAAGCCATACAATGGAAACATCGAATAAATAATAATATTTAACAATCATTATGATATTTTATTTTATATATTTATTGTCACAACATTGCATTGTACATAATATTCTTACATTATACATAAAAACATACAAAACATATAATTATATACAAATTTAGAACGCTATTAGATCTTTTAAATTACGCAATGGATTTTAATACAATTTTTAGCAATAGATAGAGTGATTCAAAAGGAAGGTTTATTATATATATATATATATCTCAATCAAAGCACCGTATTTTCTTTTTATCTGTACACATATAAAGTAAAACTCAACATTAGGAATGTTATAGAAATATATATCTATTAAAACAGTAGGTACTCTTATATGTGTATTAATTTTGTATTAGATAGAATTATAAAGATCACATGTCTAAGATATTCGTTGAGCAAAAGGAGATTATTAATTACAGAACTACGTATCAATTTATATTGAAATTATTTAACAGAAGGAGTAACAGAACCTGCTACTGGTATTATAAATATTACTCTTGTTGTAGCAAGTAACCTCAATGAAAGGTTTATATTTTTTTAACGTCGATTGTTACCAATACTTGTTGTTTTCTTTAATAATATTTTTCTCCAATAACTCTGATATTAGTATTAATGTATCAGACAGAGAGATACAGGTTTATTGAGCAGAAAGAGATTGTTCATAGATCTTCAGACACTATATTAGACTAGACTCAGAGACTACACATATATGTAATTTTTTTAATAATACAAGTTAGTTTTACAAATTGTGCAATTGTTTTAGAGATGTTAGTTATTGAGATCGTGTAAGTACACATAAGTATATTCATACTTACACATGTACATTTGTTGTATGTATGTATATGTGTACCTATAGTTAAATGTCTCTAAATAAATAATAATATGTAGGTATAATTATAAAATAAAATATAAAAGTTATTCACCAAATACAATTAGGTATCTATCAATAAATTTATTTGAGTTATAATACTTTTAATTCTAGTCCTAATTGACACTTACTCTCTGAAGAGTCACTTACTCTTAAATAACTTACTAATAACAATAATAGTAGTACAGTAATATTTTATTAAAATGATTATGAGGACGTCATCTAATAGCTAACGAATAAAGGAATATATTTTAAATCAATAATATAATAATAACAGAAAATATTAATTGCATTGGCATACAAAATTGCAATTTTTCCTATACAATTAGCATCGAAATGAGATAGTGTAGGTATTCAAATGTTAGGCAATTCATATCAAGATTACAATAATAAAATAAGTACACATTGTAGTTTTAAGAAATTGTGTGAATACATTAGATATAGCTACACACTGCGAATGAAATACAACCACACTTACAAGGCACATCAAGATACCATTGGTGTGCCTTGTAAGTGTGGTTCAGTATCTCCATCACAACAATGTATCAAATAGTTTACAAAATCCGGGAAACAACTAGGTATTAGTACTGTTGAACCACACGCAACAACAATTATGAAACCAACACAACAGTATCCTGGTCATCACCAGAAATCATTAACCAGTAATCAACCAAGAATCATCATCACCATTAGTAATTTGCCTTCGTCTGTCTTCCTCACATCGCTCACGTTCTTCTCCTAGTTTTCTTTCTTCTTCAACTGCTGTTGAAGTCTCAGGATGTCCCAGAATGACTAGTCTACTTCTGAAGAACTGTTCACTACATTTAGAATACCACATACGTCAGTATCAGATAACGGACGATTCTATCTACGTTTATATCTCAGGAATTTGAATGTCACTAATTGTTAATGACTTGAATGTCAACGGTCAGAATTTTAACGATAAGGTACCTCTCTGCCCCATTTATCTCTGACCATTAATACACGACACGGACGTACACCGACCACCAACGGCGAACACCATATCAGCTGCTGTTAAATCGAGACGTTAGCACGAAGCTCCATGTTGTGTTCCGCACCACACCACCACTAGCAGTAGCAGAATCAAACAAATGTATATATGTAACAGGTAACCAGGTCCAGGCCAGAAGTTACTCTGTACGCGGGCCAAAATGGGGATTTGGCAACATAGTGGATAGACTGGGACGATTGCACTACGAAGTATCTATACGAAGTACTCCAACCAGAGAGCTGTGTGGCGCTGGCACTTGGAGCAGCTACTGGCTCCATGAGTCCAGCAATGCAGAATAGCGGCGGAGGACTGTCATATACAGACCACTAGTCGCTAGTTTGAATTTTCATATATATAAAATATCCATTGACATGTATCACAAATTTTCCATTCTAATAAAATAACTTAGGTATGTAGATATACATATTTTACACTAACAGTCTCCTTCCCCCAAGTATATACAGGTGATATAGTAGAATATATTCAATAATGGAATGACCAGTGTAGTGAGATAAATCACTTTATCTGACGTGAGTTACATAGCATATAATATACATATGCACAGGATGAAAGGGACAACTGGATCAAAATGAACTGATTCAGATGAACGATCTGAATCAGCTGGCAGATTATTTTCTCACAAATATAATAACTAATGATTGTTAGTTTGGACGCCGCGCAATGTAAATATTTGAAATTTTGCAACGTTTTACCACAAATAACAATACTACGTAGTTTTACTTAATACCTACCTACTGGATACACGCGACGCGGCATGGCATATCAACACCGCGCACGCGACGACACATCAGGAACACAGTTACATTCCAAAACATCGTTATCATTATTAATATTATATTATCTTATCTGTGCTAATATTACGGAACCGATTTTAATGTAATTTGGTTATCAGATAGACTAGACCCTGATAAAAGAGATGAAAGGATGTATCGTCATTTTAAATGCTAGAAGCTTGAATTTATTAGGGTGCTGATTAAATATAACTAATCTTATATTATTTATAAATATGACATTAAACGTTTGTAAAAATTACTTTTAATTGAATAAAATAAAATTGGGGATGGAAGTTCATATGGAAATTCAACATTAGTTGTCCATTCCACGCAGATGAATTCTCAGGAA